ATATTCTCTACTATTGAGCATCATTGTGTATTGAGCATTAGAACTCTCAAATTGAGTATCAAAATTTTTTCATTAATATCATATTCTCTACGAAATTTCAAAAACGCATCTAAGTATCAAAATATTTTTATTGAGTATCATTCTTGACTATTGAGCATTGAGGTTATTTATGAGTATTGAGCATTGGAATTGGAACTTTTCCAAAAGCACATTTGAGCATCAAGACATATATTTTTATTGAGTATTGTGCTTTTTATTTTTAAGCTTTAAAATTATGTGTGAGCAAGCCTCAATCTAGTCGCGCGAGTTTCGTCGGTGTTGAATTGATATGACATTTTAAAATGAGCATAACACCATTACTGAACAGGACTGTCTAGAGGGAATATGAGGCACTAGATGGTAACATAGACACTTTGTTTAAATGTTTTTTTCAATATAATAATATGAGTATAAAACATAGAATATCAATTAAATAGAGTAAATTACTTATGAAATGCATCATATACGATTGACATAATGAAGGTATTATTCAAAAGCAAAGATTCAAAATTGATCAAAAATACATCTTCACACTGATTCTCAAACAAGACATTTGTACCCTCATTCTCAAATTGACGGAGAAGGTTTTGTATTACGTACTGATAACCAATCCATAGAGTCCGCAAACGAGTTTATAACCATATCTTTTCTTCATTTGTTATTTCTCTTTACATATCCCGAATCCCACCATAAATCTTACTCATACAATTGTATTAAAAAAATGAAAAATACTAAATAAGTTAATGATTTATAAATACACATTCAATCCATCATTTTAGTTTTAATTGAATGTAAAAGATTATAATAAGTCTACAATATATCGTTCAAGCAAAATAAAAATTACTAGTACGATTTTATATATCTGGATACTTATAATATACCCCAAATCTCAAACCCTACTCCCAAATCGAGTCAGCCCATTAACAATTTATAAACTAGTAAAAGATGTAGTGGAAATTACCCGTTTGAACCATTTTTAACTATGATATTTCGTTTATGACTCACGTCAAAACTTTTTTCATCTTTAAACTTTCTCCTTTTCAATTTTATTCACCCAGCCTAATTTTTATTTCAAAAAAATCTCCGCCAGGCTGCCCGTCCTTTGAATGAACTGTCATGTTCACACTCGTCCAGCCGAATCACCACCGCCATAATCTTCTCCTTCCTCCCCTCAACACAAACGATGGGTGAACTCATCTGAACTCTTCTTTGGATTTCAGATCCAATACTTCTTCTGTCATGAAATATTTCAAGTTCCTTATTTCGTGCTTTGACCTAATCAATTTTGACAGAAGATTTTACCTCTTCCGACTCTTGTTTCGAAGAAGTAAGGAATCTATGATTCTCGATTGTCTTCTTCAATTTTGAGATAAGTATGACAGTGTAGAATTGGATCCTAGCTCAACTGAAACTTCTAGTTCATCGAACCATGTTAGCGACCGAAACCTGAATGAGTTCTACCGGAAGAGCGGCCAGAACTGATCCGAAAGTGTTCTTAGACACACATTAGCTAGCCAACTGGCCGGTCATGTCGTGATGGAGCACTTCAGCGATACTGCTGCACTTCAAGGGCTTCACGTTCCACCGCGCGAACCCCAATTTCATGTGCCAGGGCGCCGATTTAATTTCACAGGGGGAAACGAGACCGGAGGCGAGTCGATCTACTTGTCAAAGTGTGTTCACGAAAACTTCATTAAGAAGCACACCAGCATCGACATCCTCTCTATGGCAAAATCGGGGCCAAAACTAACAGAACTAGTGAGTTTTACAGTTGGATTGCTTGATTATAAACTTGTTTTGATAGATTTTGATTTCGCGGAGATTCTATTCAGATGTTTTTAAAATTAATTTACAATGTTAGTATCAATAGTAGTTCTGACACCAGTTTTATGCTCATTCAACAGTTTCCTGTTTAAGATGATTTTGGAACATCATTTGTTTGCTGAAATAGTTTTAGTACACATAGCATACATGCCATATACTACGTATTTTGATATTTTGATTCCATGATTACTTCTTTTGTAAGAATAATTGATAATTGATGATGTATTGACTATAGGGGTTCAATAGTTATAACAACAATACAAGTTCATCATAGACCTTTTTTAGATCGTTGTATAAACTTTTGTTTCTCTTATAATTGTTTGTGGCAGAAAATTTTGGCTTTAAGTAATTGTGCTCTGCAATTTGAGTATTCAAATAGAATTTTACTATGAAGATAAAAATGGTCAACTCTGTAAAAGGAAATCCATAGAGAAAATCTTGCAAAATCTGGAAATTATGAGTAATAATAATGTTTTATCCTTTGAGACTACTCTTGAGCTCTACAAGCATGCAATCCTTTTCAACTTGGAGTGTGCTTTGCTGCCAGCTACATAGTTTTTCAAAGTAGGAATTCCCATTGCTTAGGAGATAATCTACTTGCAAAAATCTAGGTGGGATGAATAAAAGTCACTTGCTATAAATGGGTTCTCATGAGTGTAATACTAGAGGGTAGTTCTTTGCTAAAAATGCATACTAATACATTAACGTTGCGAAATTTGCTTCTGGAGAGGATTGTTCTCCTGAACTTTGCTAAACTTTGCTTACCTTCCTTTTAGTGTATATAAGTGTTCATCCCTTGCGAAATTATCTTTTAGCATTTTACTAATTTTGCAGAAAAATGTTACTCCGTATTAGTTTTGATGCATTTATGAATGTGAAAGACATATTGAATTGTATATTTGTCTCATTATTTTTATACTTCTTTTGTTGCTTTTTGTTTCTTTTGCATGTTGCTTATTGTTGTATTGTGTTTCTTTTTGTTGTTTGACAATTGATTAGGCATGAAAGCTCTTCGAATTGATTCCATCACACAAATAAAGAAAGAGCTTCCAAAGTTGAATTTGTGAAAAAGCACACTTGGTCTACTAGTCTACTGGAAAGGAACTAGGAAGCGCTCACTTCGTCCGTTTTGATTTTTCAGTTTTTTATTCACCCCTATGTAAGTGTATATTATTGTATATATAGTAAAAACTCAATTTAGTGGTGCAATATTTAATATTGTTATATTTTAAGGATATTTCTCATCTTGAATGTGAGAATACATATTCAAAACTGTGATGCTTCAATAAGTTTTTTTGTTGTTCTTTGTTGCATATTGTCACTTTTTTGTTGATTTGTGTTGTATCATGTTGCTTTTTGTTTTATTGTGTTTCTTTTTTGTTACCCCTTTTTTATTTATTTGTTCATTGAACATTTTATTTCATTCTTGTTGTTTAATTAGGTTTCTATTCATTTTTTGTTGCATTGAAATAAAAACCACATATCTACCTTAATAATACTTCGTATATTTTAAGAAAATCCGCAGGAAACATGAATAAACAATAAAAAACAAAATTTGAATAGTTATTAACAAAATGAAACATAATGAAACAACATTCGATATAAACTAACAAAATTTGCATTCTCCGTATTACTCCATATTTAATTTTTTTACATCGGATAATTCACAAAATTCATACTCCATATTATTTAATTGTTTTACAATTTTTAATTTATTACAAATTTTCTACATTTTATATATTTTAATAGTTTCAGACTTATTTTTGGAATTTTGGGAATATATTTTTATTTTTTTGTAAACCAATTTACGGTTTTTTAGTGTTTTTAAGTTTTATTTCGGTGTTTAAATTTTGTATACTTGATTTTTGTTATTTTTGGTTAAATGTGTGTATTTACTTCGATATTTAATAATTTTTGTAATTTATATTGTAGAAATTATAACTCTTCTATGCAGTTATAAATATTTTCATATTTTTCATACTTTCAAAATAAATTTTATTATATTATTTTATATAATTACATTTTATATAATTTTATATGAATTTTCTTTATATATTTTTTATACTTCCAAAAATAAATTATATTCTCTATAATTTTTTATAATCTTAAGATTTTTTATTTTTTAAAATGTTATTTATACATTTTATCTTATTTTATCTTATTTATACATTTTTATTTATAAATTTAACATCCTTTTTGTAACTTTTTAAAACTTCTTATTACATTTCTGATTTCTATATATTTAACATTTTAAACGTTTTTCATTTTTTTTAGTGTTGTGTTACTAGTTTACTACTCCAAACAAACTTATTTTACGTTTTTTCTAATTTATTTTATAAATATCAAACTTACAATTTTTGAAGTTTTGAGCTCTTATTATGTTCATTTTCAGCTTTTGGATTTTCCATGAATTCTTTCAATTTTCTATTTAATAACAAAAATGTAGTTATTGGTGACGTTTGTGCTTCTATTAATTCATACTTTCATACGCAAGAAACTAGCCGCCTTGCACTTATGAAGAAATAGACGAATAGTGCACAAGTAAAGTGAGCTGACGGATGCCTTTGACTTCGTATAGTCTCTTTGTGAAAAGAAAGTATCCGGAAGTCTATTTTTGAAAAAGAAATGGACGGGCGACAAAAGTGATATAATTTTCACTTTTTGATCTATTTGTGAAAATTCCCCAAAGATGTAACGGATAAACTGACTAGCTAATAAGTAAACCAAAAATCCTTCAAACAAATTAAAGCAATTATTACTCAATTAGTAAAGTAAATAAAAGACCTTCCATTCAAAAAAAAGTTAATAAAAGACCTAAGACTCAAAAAGGCAAGCCATATGCTATTCTCGCACCTTCGACCTTCGACCTTCCGCCTTCATACTCGTCCACCACGTGCAGATTTTTTAAGATTATGAATTACCGAGTAATATTTAATTAAACATTTACAATTAAAGTTGAAATTCATACATAATACTATTAAGCTTATTTCTAAATTTATTTTTACTTTTTGTTTTTCATAAATTTGGGCCATACAAAAAATGGTTATTAAAATATGTCGAGTCAGCTTGTCCAGAGGCCCAAGGAATTAAAATTTGAAAACAATGTGCGGCCCGTAGCCCAAACGATTAGAAAATAAATCGAAGTAAATTGCTCGAAATCGTAAATCATCGTTCTTTATCTGCTTTCTCCGGACACCGACGCAGCAACGAACTCACAAGAGCCTGCGACGAAGAAAGCTAGAAACTGTGAGCTGCGACGAAGAGCGACCACCAAGCCATCAGCCCCGCCGCGTTCCTCCGTCCACGCCGCGCGTCCAGCCGTCCAGGGGGCTGCCTCTTCGGCCGTCCTTCCTCTCTGAGCTCTGCATCCAGTTCTGTCGCAGGACCACAGGTTAATTTTTATATATATATATATAGTTTTACTCTCTTATTTTGTGATTGTTTTAACTTGTATGAGTCCGATAGTTTGATTATTTTGTGTCAAACTCCATTATTCGATTAGTTAAAATCTAAAAAATAATCAAATTATTTTTAGCCTTTTAGAGTGTTAGGGTTAGTCCATTAGTTAGTCCATTAATTGAAATTTTCTGTGCATAATAAAATTCAGAAAAAATTTCAAGATAGAATTAAATCTTAGAGAATGATTTATTGATTATACAATTGAATATTAGCTAATTAGAGAGTAATTTATTTATTGTGTGGACACGTAAGAAAAAATTGAAGATTTCAATTGAATTTTGAAATCACGAATACTTGTTAGTTTTATGTACAAAAATTGTTTTTTCTTGTTATTTTTATGTTGATGACCCTCCTATTGTGTTTGGGAGTTTAAAAAATTGGAGGGCATGAGTTTTGGGGGCTTTTTATAACCCTACAAAACCCTTCAAATGCTCAATTTAAAATTCCCCCAATTTGGAGGTTTTTGAAGGATAACAACATAAATGATAATTTTAGCTCAATTTAAAATGAATACAACCTCAACTACTTGAATTCAATATATATGTTTAGCGGTTTTACTTATAATTTTCTGTAGCCCTCCTCTTCCCAAATTTATAACTCCCAAACAAAAAAATGTTTTATTTCACTTCCCCTCCCCTTCCCCTCTCATGGCTATCCTTCAAAATCTTCCCTCCCCCTAACTCCCCAACATACCCTTAGTGCTTTCAGAAATGTTCTCTGCTCATATTTTTACTATTCTTTATCATTGTGAGTCTAGCTCGAACATTCTTCTTTAAAAAGGGTTACAATGGGTCATACATTTTTCTTTCAGTATATGTATATATAGGGTACAATTCATATAAAAAGTGGTCTTCCCGTACAAAATGCGAATGACTCCACTTTTGAGCATTTGAGGTGCACTATTGCATTCAGATTATTTTCAGCATCCACTGTTAGTCATATACAGTACTTTTTGCAAAGAAAAAAACTTTGATTTAATTACGAAAATTTCACCGCGTTTTCATTCACTTTAATGCATTTTTGACATATTTAGAACCATTAGATCATAAATCCGATGCTCCAGATTATTCTTATTTTTCATGGGAATGACTCGTTATTTGATCCAATATAAGTGTCCCCCCCCGCCCCCCGCCCCCCGCCCAAACACATACTCTAATGATGGGGCTGTCAGGAAACCACATATGGTTATCATTATTACTGTATTGCTAATGTTCGCCTTTTGTGTGCTGTGCACAAATCCCATTTGCAAGTGTACATTTTAGTGAAAATGCGGACATATGCTTTAGCTAAAAACTCACCTCTCTTATCTCTAGAGAGTACCTTTGTTTTTGCAAGAACTTTTTCTTCAGTCAATTTTGGCAAGAAGTTGGCAATGCAACCTGCACTTTTATATATAGGTAGATTATTTTTACATGTTAATTTCCTTTGAAAGGTTGGTCACTGCTCTAACTTAAGCAGGTAAATAGCCATTGCTTAGAGCCTTAGACCATATAGATTTTCCCTTCATATGGTACAGAATGTGTAATCTTTAGTTTCCTCTGGACTCCAAGAGTTTAAGACCTGCTTGATGAGGACCTTGTTGGAATTTGTCATGTTGTGGTTGTTGTCTTAACTGATATAAAAACATTATCTGTAAATTGTGCAGCTAAAGCATGCCTAAGGTGAAGACAAACCGTGTCAAGTACCCAGAAGGATGGGAACTGATCGAGCCTACTCTTCTTGAGCTACAAGCTAAGATGAGAGAAGGTTTTTTTCTTCTCAGAATTATATTTTTTTTCTAGATGGCTCCTCTATTTGTGTGGTATCCTTTTGAATTAGGGTATGTTTGAATCACTTAAAATGTTAGGGAAAGGGAGAAATATTTCTAAGGAAAGTTACTTTCTTGTGTTCCGTTTTACCAGAAAATGCAAAGGTGAACTAAATAGGTATGATTCATTCTTTTTTCAAATTTTAATGGATGTCTACATTTCTTAGTCTTAAACTCTTAATATAATAGAATGAAATAAATAAATAAATTGAGTTGGACCAAAATTAAAAAAAATGCTTTGAGATTGAACCAGTGTTTTATTCTTCCTCACATTTCCATACTTCTTCAGAAGAGGAGTCTTGATGATTACTATGAGTCTAATTTTTTTGTTATATTCTTGAATTTCAATTTTTTACGGATGTCTGCATTTCTTAGTCATAATATAATAGGATGAAATATATAAAATGTGCTTAGACCAAATTTCCAAAAATAAATGCATTGAGATGCAACCAATGTTTTAGTTCTTCTCACTCCACTTTTAAATTCCTTTTACTTTTCTCCGCCTATAATCTTCCAAGATCCATAGTACTTCAGAAGAGGAGTCTTGATGATTAATATGAGTCTAAGTTTTCTGTTTGCAGCTGAGAATGATCCGCATGATGGGAAAAGGAAGTGTGAGGGTTTATGGCCCATCTTTAAAATTTCTCATCAGAAGAGTCGCTACATCTTTGACCTCTATTACAGAAGGAAAGAAATTTCTAAGGAATTGTATGAGTTTTGCTTGGATCAGGGTTATGCAGACCGCAATTTAATTGCCAAGTGGAAAAAGGTTTGTCTCATCATCATATCTAAAAACTGCATGTGTCGAAAAAAATCAAAAATAGGAGTAAAAGTTGGTGATTTCCTTAAATACTAGTGTCATATTAATGTCTGATAATGCCATATTATGGCAACCTGATTTCAAGATTTTAGTACTTCACTCCTATATATAGAAAATGCATTGTACTCTTATTCAAGCATTGTACTCCTATAGGAAATGCTGATTTCCTTTTTACTCCTATTTTCGGAAATTTCAGCGGGGGAGACCGAGAAATAGGTTAACCGAGAAATAGATGGAAATAAAAGTGATTTGGGTGAGGATGAGTAGTGGATATAGAGAGGAAATATAAAGGGCCTTGTGTTTATTGATATGTGAATGACTGAGGATTGGGGAATAGAACGAAAAAAAAAAAGTGATTTGGCTGAAGATGAGTAAAGTGGATATAGAGACCAAATATAAACTTTCTTGTGCTTAGCAATATACATAATCATCCTTACACTATCCTTACATTATATAATTTGGTACAAGGTCAAATTTGTAAATTGATAGCATTTCCCTCCATAGATCCTCACTTGCAACTGGAGATGACTAGATGGGGATTATATAACCTTTTCCATTTATGTGCTATTTCCACTCCATGGTACCAAAGAAATGCATTGAGCTCTCTCATGTTGCATTCATTTCTTTCCTTTCAATTTCATAGCCACCAAACTATGCCTGTTTCCTGATAAACAAAGCTAACATTTATGTATCATGAACGCAGCCAGGGTATGAACGCCTATGCTGTTTGAGGTGTATCCAACCTCGGGATCACAACTACCAGACCACTTGTGTGTGTCGGGTCCCTAAACATCTTAGGGAGGAGGAGGTCATAGAATGTGTCCATTGTGGCTGCAAAGGGTGTGCGAGCGGGGATTAATGTCTTATTCCTGCTATTTATAAGTATGACTTTGGGGGGCTTATATGATGATGATGCACTAATTTATTAGCCATATGTGAAATTGGTTTTGTACCTTCCCTTTTCGTTTTCTTGTATTCAACAAGCATTATAAAGGCTTGAAGATAAATCAGTAGTCTTGTGATCTTGTCAGATTAACAGAGATATACATATATATAGCGGTGGCCTCGGGCCGGGCCGGGCCCGGTTCGGGCCTTGAACCGGCCGGGCCCCGGTTCACCAACTACAGGGCCCGAGCCCGCACCGGTGGTTCCCGGTCCCGGGCCGGGCCACCCGGGTTTTTTTTTTGCTTTTTGTTTTTTTTTTCCTTTCTTATCTCCCCCCCCCCACCCACCCCCCCCCCCCACAAACCCCCCCAAATCGGCGTAAACAGCTAGCCCAAGCCCAACAGCCCGATAAAAATGAAAAAAATAAAAAAATTGAATTTGGCCCGGACCCGGGCCCGAACCGGCCGGGCCGGGCCGCTTAAACTAGGGACCGAGCCCGGAACCGTCCCACCCCAGGGCCTCCGGCCCGAACCGGACCCGGACCCGGAAAACCGGGCCGGGCCGGGCCCGCACAGTAGCGGTCGGGCCGCGAGGCCTGACCTATTATATATAGACTTATTAGCAATTTGAACTATAACGGGAACCAGAACCTCACCGCCGGTTCGCGGTTCTAAATTCCAGAGAACTGGAACTGGAACCGCACAGTACCAGTTCCAAAGCCGGTTTGGTTCTGGTTCGGTTTTCCGGTTCCATATTTTTTTTTTGAACAAAATTTATTATTTTTTTTTAAAATAGAGTAGGTATTAAGTAATAAGATTATTTGAATGAAACAGTTTCCAAAACATATTTTAATACTCCTACGTCCCGCAAAGAAGTTCTTGCTTTTCATTTTTATCAGTCCCAAAAAGTTTTCATTTTTTTAAATGGCAAGTTATCTACATCAAAACAGTGTCAAATAGTGTCAATCGAAACAATGTCAAAATAGTAAAACTTACCCCTAGTAACTCAGTAAGTTTATTTCCTTAGTATGGGTGTAGGCATGGGGCCTAGGCCTGGCCGGGCCTTGGTTCAGGAAAGGGGAGGCCCGGAACCGGCCCGGGTAACCCCCGGGTCGGGCTGGGCCTTGGTTCAATTCTATTTTTTTTTGTGTTTTTGTAATTAACCCCTAAGGCCCTAACCCCCCCACCCATCCTCCAAACCATCCCAAACCACCGACCCAAAATACCCACCCCAATCTAAAAACTAAAAATAAATCAAAAAAAAAAAAGAAAAAAAATGGCCCGGCCCGGGTCTGGTGTGGTCTGGTTTATTTGTATTTTTATAACTACGCAAATCTGATCTGGTCTAGTTTGGTCTGGTCTGAGACAAATTATCGTCCAAGTAAAAACATCATAACTCATATATACTCATAATTATAATGTTTTTAGATAGAAAATGGGTTGATTTGTGAATAGAATCTTTGCTAACTTTTATTACCAGCCCACCCCACAATTAATTTTGGGCCCACTTCAAAATTAAACTTGTGTCTTGCGCCGATCTCTGAAGCGAATGCGGAAGTGCGGACGCTTGTGGCCTTGTGCGAAGAACGAAGACGAGGTCACGAGCCTGGACTTGCGAATCCGTCAGCTGCGCCGCCGTCCACTACGGCTCTCCGTCACTCCGAATCCGGTTCTGCCTGGCCGCCTGGGCTCTATCTCCAGCTCCGCTGCTCCAGCGTTCAGGTATGCTCTAACTCTAATACTCTTTTAGATTTTTAATCAGTTATTTTGTGACTGTGTTATTGTGCATTATTATTTTTAGGTCTAGGGAATCAATTTGATTATTAATTGAATTTTTTAGTGCATAATGAAACATTTTTTAATTCATTATAAATTTTAATGATTAAAGATACAACTAAAGATTATAGAATGATTTATTTATCATTTTATTAAATGAGTATGTAAGAAAAAATTGAAAGAACTATTCCTTGAACCTATATGTTTGCAAATACGTAATATGGAGTACTCCGTACATCTGTACATGTAATGTAGAACAATTCAAAGAACTAATACATTTTTTGTTTTTTGAATTATGCTAAAAGCCTAAAACAATGTGATTTGATAAGACATATGCAGCAAATTGAAGAATCACATGCAAATTTGATTTCATGACTTGTAAACCTTGTGATCCGAAATATGCAGCTAAAATTGGTACGTATGAATATTCAATACTAAATAGAACCTGTTTTACTAATCACTTTGTATTAGAAGGTGGTCAAGGTACCATGTATCAATTTATCGGTAAGGAAGTAGATAATGATATAATAATTTTGGTTATAATAATAATAACTCAGAATACATGCATATATATAGATTGATAGACTAGAGCAGTCTTGTTTCTTTGTTAAAAATCTCCTATTGATTTGTTCATGTTGCTTGGATTTATATTTGAGTTTTTGTTTAAAAATGTTACTCAAATGAAACTTTTTTACAAAAATATGAGCAATAGTTTCTATGTAGTCTCATCATCATTTAAGTGTAAATATTGAACACAAGTTACTATTATAGTCACTACACCAAGGAGGTGACATTTTTGTAAACAACATTTACTTTAGTTATACATACGTAATTATTTCTTTATATTTTCTTGTATTGTGCTAACTTATTGCCACTCACCTTTCTGTTTAAAATCTCTGCATTGCAGATTTTTCTTCCTGATAATTTGAAGAATAAATATAAAAGAAGTTTAGTAGTGTCAAAGTACTGCTTTCTGCTTTCAACCGATGAGGATGTAAGTATTTAGTTATTCACTGATGTTATTTACTTATCTCGTGTTTTGATGTTTTATGTTAATCCATTCATAATTCATTCAACGTGAAACATAATCAGTTGCATTAATGAGGTGATATTTGTACATTTGTAGACTTTTTTAATGGGCCCATATTTACTTTTTCCCCATAGTTTTCACTTAAACCAAACTATGTGCTTTTCTCTCCCGCTTACCTTCTCCATTTTCTCATCCAAAAACAGAAAACTCTTTCCAAACAAACAATAAGTTGGTCTTGACTCTTGACATGTGATTATTATTATTATAATCCTTGGTTGGAAAGTAAGGATATACTAATTTAGAATTAGTTCTATGCAGACTTAAAGCAAATGCAGGTGCACTCACCAATTTTGAGGTGCTTGAGTTTCTTAGATCAAGAGGAGCCGGAAAGGGTGCTGCACGTGTCATGCTTCCAATTTTGGCATCTGAATTTAAGGTTAACTTTTGTACTTTCTACCAATGGCTTCTTGACATAACACTGTGATTATTTATGAAGTTTTATTAAATTGCAGGTTTTTGATTATTTAGAACAGACTGCTGTGTGCAGTAATCAAACTAGAGAAATTATTGGTCAATTTGTAGAAAAATGTAAAAGCTTCAATATATCAAAAGCTGAAGTTTTGAACATCATCAATATCAGACCATGTACTCTATCTCAAATTTACCCGGTAAGGTTTTTCGATATTCCATGATTGGGAACGCGCATTTGTTGATTTTTTTTTTTTTCATCTGCTAACTATTGCAGCCAGTATGTATGGTTGAAGAGAGGATTTGATCATTCTTGATGACAAAGTAGTTGTTTATTTGGTTGTCAGCTTTCTCTCATTTTTCTAAAACGTTGAGGAATGAATATTCTCATGAGTCATGAACCCTTTTGATTTTCCCCTTGGAGTGGGGGGGGGGGGGGGTAGGAATATGCAATGACAACAAAACTTTTAATAACCATTAATCATTGACATTTAATAACCAAACAATGGAATATAATTTTTTTCTTTACCCCCAAATTACCCCCTTCATTGCGAAGTGTGTTGTGTTGTTACTTTCTTAATGATAATATATATACTCTTTCCGTCCCGAAATTAACTTACACCTTTCCTATGTGCGGTGTTCCAAGATTAAATTCCTACTTTACTTATTTCTATTTTTGGTAACCTTTTCCTTTGAAAGTACTCATTTGCCTCCTACTTTAATACGAAGTATTCATTTACCTCCTTTACTTTATTTGGACTACGACCTTCCTTTATTATATCAAGGTAATTTTGGAAAGTCAACTTTTTATTTTTTCCTACTGAAAAGCCCATGAAGCCAAAACGGGAAGTTAATTTCGGGACGGAGGGAGTATTTGATTATATATGTTATCATGGTGATTACGATGTTTTAGTTTCTCTTTGTATACTACTGTTAAATGTAGTCCCCCCCCACTCTCCCACAGATAATAGAGGAATATGATGTTCGGTTTCCAAGAAGTGAGGAAACTGGTGATGAGGAAGAGAGTGAAGAACCTTTGATGGCACTGGTCGAGACAATACTACATGTTTTGCCTGCCCCTCCTTCTCCAATGCAGGAGGCTGATGGGGAAGTTGACGAAAAAGTTGATGAACAGATGGAAACATCTGCTGATGAAAATAGGGTCGTTGAGACTAATGAATAGTAGCACACTTTACTGAGGAGATTTGTAGGTGTTATGTGACCATTTTTTAGTTGAATTGGTTAAGACAATACAACCCTATGTCACTGTGCTGACTGTTTACTGTAACATTTTGCAGTTCATCAAGGTGTTATATATGCAAGTCTTATACTCTACTATATTTGGCATGACTGTAAGATAGAGCCTTCGGTTGTAAATCTTTTCAAGTAGAGTTTTTTATGCTAATATTTGTGGTAATGTTTATCATAATATGCCTTCATATATTTTATGGCCAATTTTTAGTTCTGTCCATTTTAATTTCTGAACTTAATCTTCTATATGAGCATGTTTTGTAGCTGGAATATTTACAAATTTGGTAGTGGTTTACAAGCTTTTCAATTTCAGTAAGTTTTAATATTCTCTAATCTTGAAATGCGTATGGGTGTTAATGTAGTATTGTAAATATAGCTCTAAGCCTCTAAGGCCTCTAACCGTCGATGATTAGTGTGTTCATAGAGACGAAGTACCTCCGAAAATAAGTTCATGTGAATCCAATGAGGCAATGAGTATGCACTATGCAGTAAAGGGATCAAGGGAATGTGATTCGTAAATTATGGGTGAAATTTCTAAAAATGGAGAATAAAGTGATAATGAATGAATCACATTGAATGATGAATTAAATCATATTCGATCGACACAACAAATACATCATCTAATTCACCACCAATTCACCAGCATAAAATAATAATGTCATTTGATAAATAAATAATTATTGTGTGAGTGTGTGTATTTGTTGCGTATTTAAAATCCTAATGTGTTTATTTTTTCAGCACTAGTAGTCATGGACTTGGGTCGGGCTGCCCGGCCCAGAACCGGCCCAGAATTGGTATTGTTTGGGCCTGGCCCAGCCCGGCCCGGTACCTGGTTGTAGGACCGGTCAGGGCCACCTGAACCCAAATTAATCGGGTTGGGCTCGTGCCTCCTAAAAGTGGAACCGGCCTGGAACCAGCCCGGCCTTATTTTTTGGTTTTTTCAATTTTTTTTGGTTTCTCCCGGGTTGGTCTGGGTGTTTTGGGGGGGGGGGGGGTCTGGGGAGTGGGGAGTGAGGGGGGGTCGGGGTTAAAAAATCAAAAGATATTTAAAAAAAACATGAACCGGCCCGGAACCGTTGCCTATCCGGGCCGGTTCCGGTTCTTCCTTCCCAAAAAAAATGTAGAGATTAATTATTTGAAAGGGAAAAATTACTACCGGTAGAGATTCAATTTATTTGAGTATAATAAGAATCGATTTTTTAAATTAAAGCGGGCTCCCATATTTGCATTTTGAATAGGACCCTCAAAATTCATTAGACGGTCGTGCATGTGTTATAGGCCATATAGTAGAGGTATTGAACTTGCAACCTCTTGATCACTAATTCATTTAATCCATCAATTATGAAACCCCTATTGATAAAATCAGGGTTAAATAAGTGTCTCCAATATCACTTAAAAAGTGACAAATATCCTTTTGTCCCTTAAAACTTTGCAGCGCTTGACCGGAACGATGGTTAATGAAGTAAAAATTTTCTAGTTGAGGTTTGTGCAGAGGAAAGATAATTAATTGAAACCGCAAATTATTTGTTTAAAATAGAAAGTGACAAAGTTAGTGGGACATTCAAACTATTACACCTATCACATATGTTCTACTCCGTAATAAATAGCATGTTTTTTCATACAATATGCAAATGAATTCGTACATATACATCTTTATCCATTTTGTATGTAATGAATAATTGATGTTTAAAGTAATTTTTATTTTTAAGTAACTAAAATGTATGAGACATGTAAAATATCTTGTGGTCTGATTACATCACTGCTGATCTCCCAAAGAGGATGTCGCAGGCTTGAGTCTGATTCAATCAAGGATGTTGGCATTAAATAGAGTAGATACTGTAATAGATTTAGAAGAATGTTCCAAAAAAATGTATGAGACATATGACTATATGAGTAGTGTGCTTCATGTGTGTGCAATCCATCTTGATGTTCAAACTGAAAATAGTTATTTACTTGCCAAAGTTCTATAGTGTATCTTTGCCTTTGGATCTTAAGTCGTACGAAGTTGCCTTTGGAGTATCAAGTGGCGTATGCAGAAAAATTTGCGACGAGTAGTAGCAAACTTATCTTAAATATTATCACACGCACGTTACGGACTCACCACATTAAGAAAAATATTGTAAAGTTACTTTTAAATAACAAAATACTCATGGGGCAAAAACTTTATGACATCATACTTAAAAATTCATACTAAACAAATTTGAATTTGTTTGAAATAAATTTGAAGTATAAGACGTTTTTAATTTGTTTAAAATTACGTTAATAAATAACTGAATCAAATAAGGGAAGGATCATAAATGTACTTAGAAATAATAAGATACGAATTCATAAGTATATTAAAAAATAAGTCTATACGGAGTATTATGTACAAGAGTCTATGTAATTGTTAAACTCCATGAATCATGTGTGGAACAAAATTTTTGATTATAATGAATTATTGATATAGTATAAGTCTTCTATTCTATTTATATATAAGAAATAAAATAGCTCATAAAAACATTATTTTATCCTTAATGCATAAAAATACTACGAAGTATTTTATATCAAAGAAAATAAATTTGACTTTACTATGGAGTGCACTACTGTTTTGTACTGTTTGGACACTATTTGAACAGTGTTTGGCACTATTTGACATTGTTTGGCACTGTTTTGATGTAGATAATTTGCCAAATAAGGAAATGTTTGAAAATGAAACTTAATTTTGGTACTGTCCGAAAAGGAAAGGTGGAACTTCTTTTAGAATCTGAGGGATTATATTCTTTATTTTCACTCTTGAAATATATGTTGATTTTCTTTTTAGTTCATTACTCATGATACCAACCTCCGTTAGATAACGAAACAACACCGACTAATAAGTTTCCTCTAATTCTTTGTCATGTCATCCAGAAAGTATTTAAGTTGTTTCTTTAGAAGCTTCTTATTCTAATTTTAAAAATGCAAATAATTAGTTGTATTTTGTTTTAAATCTCATATAGCTTCAAAAAATTATAAAATGATAAATTTAAATGTTTCTAGTACATTTATGCAATTGGTAGTAAAAATATTCTAAGTAAAGTGATTTCAGAGTTAGAGATGGACTGAAACAGAGCATATTAGAGGGATGGGAAAAAAAAAATTTGAAAATCCTTAAATAAAGTATGTCATATTTGCAGTAACTAAAATGATATTTAAATCTTTAAGTAATTATTATTAAATGAACGATAGATTATTTTTATAATCATAAAATTTGAAACACATACAAAAAATTTAAAATATTTTTATAATTGTTATACATAAATAAATAATATAAAAATATTTTTATTCACCTCGTCGAGTCGTCTCGTTCAGATCCTCTCATTTTTCATTTTTGGAAAATCTCGTTAAGATTTTCTGATCTTAAATTTACTAAAAAGATTGTGTTGCTATAAAATATTTTTACTTTATCAATTCAATATCAATGACATAAACTTATTTTTCTTAATAGCCGTGTCATCTTCTTAAATCTCTATGTTAGTGGGATAAATGAAATATAATCTATAATAAAAATCCTATTTAGTAAAACAACCAATATATTCTAGGGAAAACTGTCAAACAGGTCCTCGAACTTTCATAAAAAAGTCCAATAAGTCCTTATATAGGAGGCTCCGTCCGGCCGTCACGATTTAGGGCGGTTCCCGGTGGAATATTTTGATGAAATTTTTGTAGCATCTTATTCATCGAGTTTAGTTTACTCATACCAAATTTCATCTAAAACTTCATTCTAGAACGCATTCAAATTAATTGTTGAAGATAACTATGCAGTTAAATGAGCAGTTAATCTTCAAGAATTAATTTGAATGTGTTCCCGGTTGAAGTTTTAGCTGAAATTTGTATGAGTAAACTAGACTTGATGAATAAGATGCTCAAAAATTTTCATAAAAAAATTCCATCGGGAACCCCCCAAATCGCGACGGCCGGACAAAGTCTCCAATATAAGGACTTATTTGACTTTTTTATGAAAAGTCGAGAACCAATTTTCCCTATATTCTATTCTACATGAAAACACAATTTAAATGGAGTAAAAAATCCCTTAACATTCTCCAGCAAATTCAACCCAACCCAACCTAACAATCAATGGACAATTCAGAATTCTACACCAAAACTATGTGACCGGAGTATATTATTATTCACCTAGTAAAACAATGTATAATTAATACTCCGTAATTGCACACCAAATCTATCTGACCCAAATACTTGTATCCGTCTTCACCATAGAACCTGCGAATAGACACCTATGGGTGAACAAGAGTATCTTCAATACTACAATGTGCACGATGCACATATGGCATGAAAGAGATAGACACTAGAAATTAAAATTTTTGACATCTCTCTCTTTCTTTCCACGATTTTATGTGTTTTTGGTAAATTTTTTCTGCAATGTCCAGGGACGGACCCAGGAAGTTTATCTTGGGAGGGCGGTAACTTAAAAAAATATTCTTTGGGAGGGCGAAAATTATTTTTTGGTATATATATACAAAAAAAAAGTTGTTGGGGGGGGGCTGCCCCCCTGGGTCTGTACTATGGTCCGCCCCTGACAATGTCAACCACGGTGTCTACATCTAGACATTGTGTTTGACATTGTGGAGAAAAACTTACCAGGACATATAAGACCGTTCAAATAAGGAGAAAAATATTCTATTTGTTATTTTTTAATTGGCTATCATTCATGCTATATATGCACTATTCACGTTTTTGCATTGGAGATTCTCTAAGCTGCTCTCCGCCTCTCTTCTTCTACCTTCAACGTTTTTGCATTGGAGATCCTCTAAGCTGCTCTCCGCCTCTCTTCTTCTACCTTCAACTTTCACCTCCAATCGTCCGCCCTCAACCTTTGTAAGTCTAGCTTGCATAATTGTTTCCCTCAATTAGTAGTGATGGCTAAGTAAATTGCTAGTATATTTTTATTTTTTAATTTATAAGACCATTTATTTTTATTTTTATGAAAGCAAATGTGGTAGTGTGTTACCTCACTTACCTGTTATTGAAATCGATTCCAAGTTGCCAACCTTTTCTAAATAAATCTGGAAAGTCAGAAATTAGAAAGACGGAAACACCCTCGATAGACCAGCTTCAGTTTCAATCGATTCTTTTAACCTGGACACCGGATGGGAGGTAATTGAGTCTTTTCGTTTTGTTTTTCCAGGAGATGGTTTGACTAAAATGTATTCCTTCCATTAGACCCGACGGAGCATATCTCCACTCCTATATTATCAAACGGTTTGAACACGAAATTCATTAATCAGCGTTAGCATCTCAGGCCGTCAAAACTGAAAATATGGGTTACATCGGAAAGGTATCGTTTAATCAGTTCTCTCAAAATTTCTATCAGGCCTTATTTTTTTGTTCAGATGTTTGTACCCTACTCGGATTTATTTATTAAAGTTCAGATTTTTTAATAGTTTATGATCGTGCAGCACAAATATAGGGTTCCAGTGCTGCAATTTCGAATTCTTTTTAGTTTTGGCATGGAGAAATTAATCAATCACTATCATCTACTCCGTATATGTTGTTGAATAGGAAATCTGATCAAAGAAATCAACTATTAGAAAAAAAAAATTGAAATTTTCTCGTCAATCGTTTCAATTGTCCTCTGTTATTTGCACTTTCCTAAATAGTATACGTAGTATTTTTGTAGCAGCTGCTAAATAGGAGTAGTTCTTCCTCTTTGTAAGAATTGATGTTGGTTATAGCTTGCAATCGTTTTAAATCCTAGACTTGAATGTGCAATGAGGACATTTGGTTTGGTCCACTACAATTCCAGTAATCATGATGGATTGATATGAATTATTAGGGGGGATATGGGAATCTCCTCCAAGTTCAGAATACAATCCTCAAGTAGGGATGATCTGAAAATGGCGGTCAATTTAGCGGGTTTGAAAAGCGAAAAATATAATACTACGTACTAAATCGAATGACGTGTTAGCTCACAGCTCCGTGACTAACTTGATTTTCTCCATCAGAAGTTAGAACGTTTTATCCTAGAAATAAAATTGGGAAGAAAAATGATGCTCTATTATTATAATATGTATACAATTTTCTTTCAAGCAGGATAGCAGGGAAGAAGTTATACAGGCATGGTATATGGATGATAGCAATGAAGACCAGAGACTTCCCCATCACCGTGAGCCAAAACAGTTTGTCTCCTTTGACAAACTTGATGGTATGTTTCTTTCTACGTTGTATCATGTTTGGCCTCACAGTTCATTACACATCTGATGATGCAATAAACATTTATAATCCTATACTTAATTTGTAATTCTTAGAGCTTGGAGTACTCAGCTGGAGGTTAGATGCTGACAATTATGAAAAGGATGAGGTTTTGAAGCAAATCCGTGAATCCCGAGGATATTCCTACATGGTAAGTGAGAATATAAAAAAGTGGAATTGTTGATATTTTGGTATAAGCTTAATCATTTTTCTTGTTTCAAGCTTATCATCTATTTGTATACACTATGCTTCTTCAGGACTTTTGTGAGGTGTGCCCTAAAAAGTTACCCAATTATGAAGAGAAGATCAAAAATTTCTTTGAAGAGCATCTTCACACTGATGAAGAAATCCGCTATTGTGTTGCCGGGAGTGGTAGGTCTTAATCTATTCTGGGCTTGTCTGGCATCAAGACCTGTGTACTTGGAGACTAGATCATACTATGCTACACATAAAGCATACTGAGTACAGGACTAGCATTAACTAATAATAAACATTCATTATGTTCAGATGTATTCACAGTTTTTGCTTATTCTGCTGCGCAACTTTTCCTCACTCTTGCGGTTGAAATGGATGTTACGTAACATTTTCCATTTCAAGTACAGCATATACAGCGATATCTGAAAATACCCTGACCAATCAGAACATAAATTTTTAGTTCTACTTCATCAGCCTTATGTTACAGTTGTTACTGTTTTGTACTCCTTTCAATTGAAGGTTATTTTGATGTACGTGATAAGAATGATGAATGGATCCGGATCTGGGTGAAGAAAGGAGCGATGATAATCCTACCTGCTGGAATTTATCACCGTTTTACCCTTGATTCTAATAATTACATTGACTGCCAAACAATGTAATTATTAAAGTAGTTTTACTGCCATCATTTCATTTTGCTAAGTGACTGTCATATAAGTCTTCTATAGTTCGACACTTGATGCAATCATAAAGTTGAGATTTGAGAAGTATATTGCTCTTCTTTATAATATGACTAGCTTTTGTATATCCATCGGGACTTAAGGGGTACCTAGCTACCAGTATTGTCCATTTGAAGTTCATGCTGTCGACCATACTCTGTATTCGTAATCCTCTCTCCCTAAGGCTATGTATGGGAGTTAAATTTTGGAGGAGAAGTGAAAGCAAGAGTTATTTCTCATTTATTCTATACATACATCAATTGAACATAATTTCCAAAAGAAAGATGTAAAGTGATAAACCAGCAGTCCAACATGGAATCAGTGTCCTATTCGTATATACAAAGTACGTAGCTATATTTTTGCGTGCTGTGATTTCTCAAAAACTGCCTTTTGTTTTTTTCAGGCAATGCGACTCTTTGTTGGTGACCCAGTTTGGACTCCGTTCAACCGCCCACATGATCATCTCGATGCAAGGAAAAAGTACATTGAAACATTTGGGACGGATGATGCTACTACAGGTCTTGTTGTTGATGCTGCTGCCTAAGCATGCTATTGTACTACCAACTACACTACAGACTATTATATTTAACCAAGAAACTTTAACATCATGGCTCCTGTTATCGTTACACTTTGATAAAATAATGTTTCCCATAGGCACGTGTATTCTATGTGATGGCCTTGGATTCAGTTTGATTATATGTATAAATATGTGAGTTTGTGATGACAATTTTTGCCAGTGTTGAACTGCTAACATGAATAGGCCCAATTAGACCTAGATTTTGGATGGATAATGGATTTTATGAAATCTTTAGATCAATTAGGTCTAAATTGAATTCCAGGTATGAGCCAAGGAGAATGTTTCAGATTTTCTCCACCTTGATAGGAATAAGGGGCCTATTCAATACTTCAACAAAGTCTACAGGAGGAGGAATAGGGAGTTTAAATAATTAAATAGTAAGCGGATAGCCTGTTTTATCCCTGCGTGGATGTTTTAATATAAATAGTAAGGGAAATAGCTAAATAAGGAGGCTGTTATTTTGGGAATTGGCTGTGACTGGGAGAGTGGGGCTTCTCTAACAGTCCCGTATCATTTGTACTCAGACTTGCTCGTTCTCTTCAATAAACACTTGCTATTTCTCTTGATTTTGCTGTTTATTGTTACTATTTCAGATTGTTTCTGCCAGTGTACTATCATTGGTATCAGAGCTTTCGCTTCCTGGAGCCAGAGAGTCGGAAGTGATAATCATCTCGAGCATCTGCTCCTGGAGATCGGATCTGGGGTACGAAGAACAACAGTCTGTGACGGTGGTGAATGGTACGAACAAGGGCGAAGATGGACATTCGCATGGATAATGTGGAGCGGAGTTGAGCTGAGATGCGAGAGGAACATGATCTGAAATTTGGGGAGTTCCGATCGGCGATGAAAGATCAGAGGGAGGCGATCGATCGTCTGACGGCACACTTGGAGGCATCCATGGCCGCGATGAATGAGCAACTGCGATCTAGAGACAGATCCCGATCCCGACCCCGACATCACACGAGGTCTTCTCGCAGTCCAACTACATCTATCGCAGGCCAACCACATGGAGGTAATCCGATCTTCTCACACATCCACACTTCCCCTGTTGGTAATCCTGGACCGTCACTTACACCAAATCACATAAGGTCGGCTGAGATGTATAGATACCCCATACATACGGGTAGAAAAATTGATCTGCCTGTGTTTGATGGGGATGGTGCTTACAGTTGGCTAATAAGGATGGAAAGGTACTTCCGTTTGAACCAGATTAATGAAGAAGAACAGGTGGAGGCCGCAGTAGTGGCCATGGAAGGCAGAGCTATAAATTGGTTTATATGGTGGGAACATAATAATGATAGGAGGACTTGGGTGAATCTAAAGACAGCCATCATACGCAGGTTTCAGCCAGATTTAATTCAGAATCCCTATGGGCCGATGCTTCGCCTAAAACAGACTGACACAGTAAGAGATTACAGGGACGAGTTTGAGCTGGTCATAGCTCCACAAATCAATGTTGACATGGAAATATTGAAAGGAATTTTTCTGAATGGCCTCAAGGAAGAGATCCAAGCTGAGCTCAAATTGCATAATTCTACTGCCTTGAATGATATCATGGATATGGCTCTTTTGGTTGAAACCAGGAATGAAGCCATCTATCTGAAAAATAATGGTGAAGATAAGGGAACAGGGAAGGAAAAAGGGCCACCGAACTATAAGCCATCTGTCTGGAATGAAAGTTACAAGACCAAACTGGGCAGCTACTGGCAGAATACAGGGGGGAAGAATGAAACAGAAACTAAGGGTAATCCAGCCATGTTCAACCCTGCAGGGAAGAAGGTCATGACTGACCCTTAATCATCTGGGATCAAACGGGTAGCACCTCAGCTTACACAGGAGGAGTACCAAGACAGGAGCAGGAGAGGCCTTTGCTTTAAATGTCGAGAAAAATGGGGTAAGGAACACACATGCAAGATGAAAAATTATAAGCTAATCATGGTGGAAGACTCTGACAGTGAAGAGGACCTGGACATACCAGATCCAGAGTCACCAAAAATGGAGGAAATTATCATGGAATCCAAATCTATGCAGCTGTCACTTATGAGCAAGGAGGGGATACCATCTATGAGAGCTTTTAAGGTGCAGGGGTGTTTAAAAGGAGAATGGGGGAAGAAAGAAGTTGAAGTGCTCATTGACAGGGGAGCAACCCACAGTTTCATATCTCTAAGGATGGTAAATCAGCTGAAAATACCTCATGAAACCATTACCGGGTACAGGGTACAAATTGGCAATGGGGACCAACTGACAAATAACAGGAGATGTGGTAAGATGAAGTTATGTTTGCAGACAACTGAGATACAACAGGATTTTTACATCCTTGAATTAGGGGGAACTGATGTTGTTTTGGGAATGGAGTGGCTTACAAGTTTGGGGGATGTGGAAGTCAATTTCCAAAAACAAATTATCAAATGGGAGGAAGCAGGAAAGCTGCAAATGATTCAAGGGGATCCCCAACTAAATTCTTTGGAAGTTTCATTCAAAATCATAACCCATATTTTGCAAGATGCAGGGGATGGGTATTTGATGTATTGTGAGAAGAAAGCTGATGAACTGGAGCATGAGGAGCAGGAAGATGGCATCTGGAAACGTATTGTAGCAGAATTCCCAGAAGTTACCCAGCCAAGGAAGCAGCTACCCCCTAGCAGGGCCTGTGACCATGCCATTCATATCAAGGAGGGGGCATCTATCCCAAATATTAGACCCTACAGGTACCCCAATACCAGAAAACTGAGATAGAGAGAATCATCAAGGAAATGTTAAGTGAAGGAATTATTCAATACAGCAATAGCCCCTACAGTAGCCCCATATTATTGGCCAAAAAGAAAGATGGGGGCTGGAGGTTCTGTGGCGACTATAGAGCCCTGAACAGGATCACTATACCTGACAAGTTTCCTATACCAATCATTGAAGAGCTGCTAGATGAACTGGGGGGAGCAGTTATATTCTCAAAACTGGATCTCAAATCGGGGTACCACCAAATAAGAATGAGGACAGAGGACATACAGAAGACAGCTTTTCGGACGCATGAAGGCCACTATGAGTATTTGGTTATGCCATTCGGCCTAACCAGTGCTCCATCAACTTTCCAACCATTGATGAACCAGGTTCTGAGGCCATTCCTGAGGAAGTTTGCACTAGTTTTCTTCGATGACATCCTAGTGTATAGCAAGACAAGGGAGGAACATCAAGATCATTTGAGGAACATTCTGGAAGCTCTTAAGGAAAATCAGTTGGTTATCAACCTAAAGAAATGCTCATTTGGACAACAACAACTGATTTATTTAGGGCACATAATTTCTGAGCAAGGAGTTGCTGCAGACCCTGAAAAAATAGAGGCAATGCTTATGTGGCCACAGCCCAGAGACTTAAAGGGGCTGAGAGGGTTCCTCGAGCTGACGGGTTACTACAGGAGATTTGTGAAGGGGTACAGTAAAGTGGCCATACCCCTAACCCAACTTTTGAAGAAGGATTGTTTCCGGTGGGGACCAGCAGCCACACAAGCCTTCAATGAATTAAAGAAAATTATGACCACCTTGCCAGTTTTAGCTGTACCTGATTTCACTAAAGAGTTCATAGTGGAGACTGATGCATCGGGAACTGGTTTAGGTGTTGTCCTCATGCAAGAAGGAAGACCACTGGCCTTTATGAGCAAGGAGCTGTCCAAGAGGAACCAAAATAAATCTGTCTACGAAAGGGAACTGATGGAAATAGTGATAGCGGTTCAGAAATGGAGGCCTTACTTGTTGGGAAGGACTTTTGTGATACACACTGACCAAAAGAGTTTAAGGTTTCTCACTGAGCAAAGATTAATGGGAGAAGAACAACAGAAGTGGACTTCAAAGCTCCTGGGTTATAATTTTACAATAAAATATAAACCAGGGGTAGAAAATAGAGCTGCAGATTCCCTATCTAGAAGACCTAGCCTGAATTCATTGTCAGTTGTCACATGCCAGGAATGGGTGGGATTGGAAGAAGAGTTGTCTGCAGATCCAACATGCCAAGCTCTTATCCAAAATATTATCTCCCACCCAGACAAATATTCGGAATTTCAGATTATTAAGGGCTTGATGTACTATAAGAAGAAGCTGGTGTTACCTAAGGGGTCTCCCAGGGTGACTAAAATCCTGAATGAGTACCACAACACAGCAGTAGGAGGTCATTCAGGATACTTTCGAACTATGAAGAGAATTTCTAACTTATTTTATTGGCAGGGAATGAGGAAAGACATACAAAAGTTTGTGGAGGAGTGTGCTATCTGTCAGACCAATAAGTATCAAGCCTTGAAGCCAGGAGGTTTATTACAACCGTTACCCATACCTCAAAGCATATGGACGACATTAGTATGGATTTTATTGGTGGACTGCCTAAATCTCAGGGCAAGGACACCATTTCATAGCTCTGGCCCATCCATTTAATGCAAAAGAAGTAGCTGACATCTTCATCAAGGAAGTAGTAAAGCTGCATGGGTTCCCAAAGACAATAGTAAGTGACAGAGGTAGCATTTTTCTGAGCACATTCTGGTCTGAGCTTTTTAAACTGGCTGGAACTCAACTCAAATTTAGCACTGCTTTCCACCCTCAGACCGATGGCCAAACTGAGGTGGTAAACAGATGTCTTGAGACCTACCTAAGGTGCTTAACAGGGAGAAAACCCAAGCAGTGGGTACAGTGGTTGGCCTGGGCTGAGTTTTGGTATAACATTAATTACCACACTTCACTGAAGATGACTCCCTACAAAGCCCTGTACGGACAAGACCCCCCTGCTGTGATTCGAGGAGATGTACACATGACTGCTGTGGAAGAAGTATCTCAACTGACTGCTAGCAGAAATGAAATGCTAAAAGAACTGAAGGAGAATTTGGAGCAAGCCCAAAATCAAATGAAGCAACAGGCTGACAAACACAGGCGAAGTATTGTTGGAAGTAGGTGACATGGTCTATTTGAAGATACAACCTTATCAACTCAGAACGTTAGCTAAGAGGTTAAATCAAAAACTCAGCCCCAGATACTATGGCCCATTTGAGGTGCTTGAAAAGATTGGCTCAGTTGCTTTTAAACTTAAATTACCAGCTGAAAGCAGGGTGCACCCAGTCTTCCACATCTCATTATTGAAGAAAGCCATTACACCTACTACTGTGTTCCAGCCGTTACCCAAATGTTTGAATGAAGAATGGGAATTGCAGGTGTTGCCAGACCAGGTACTGGATACCAGAAGAAATAAAGATGGAGAGATGGAGCTGTTAATACATTGGAAGGATCTCCCACAGTTTGAAGATTCTTGGGAGTCGCTTCAAGCAATAACAGAACAATTTCCTGATTTTCACCTTGGGGACAAGGTGAATTTTCAAGGGGGGAGTATTGATAGGAATAAGGGGCCTATTCAATACTTCAACAAAGTCTACAGGAGGAGGAATAGGGAGTTTAAATAATTAAATAGTAAGCGGGTAGCCTGTTTTATCCCTGCGTGGATGTTTTAATATAAATAGTAAGGGAAATAGCTAAATATAAGGAGGCTGTTATTTTGGGAATTGGCTGTGACTGGGAGAGTGGGGCTTCTCTAACAGTCCCGTATCATTTGTACTCAGACTTGCTCGTTCTCTTCAATAAACACTTGCTATTTCTCTCGATTTTGCTGTTTATTGTTACTATTTCAGATTGTTTCTGCCAGTGTACTATCACACCTGACCTCCAATTATGATTACATGTTTCAAAATTAATGTTTGTACTATTACCCCGTCATTCTTTTGAAACATTTTTTCTCTATAGCTTTTATCTATTGCACATTTGCACTCAGGGGCGGAGCCAGGACACTGGGCCGGTGCAAAGAACATTTTTGAAAAAAAAAATTACATGGAATTTTTTACACTAAAAATAAAGACATTTTCAAAATTTGGGCTGGGCCAGGGCCAGGTCTGACCCACCCCTAGCTACGCCCCTGTTTGCACTATCCGACTTCTCTCTTTTTTGGATTTCATAACACTCGTGTATTTCTTTCCATTTTTTTTTTTTGAGAAAAAAATATTATAGTAGTAGAACATAGAAGAACAAAATAGTAACTTGTTCACACTAGATAGAAATTTCTTTAGCCTAATTTTTACCTGAATTTATGGGCTATGCTAACCCTGCCCAAACTATTGTAAGTTTGTAACTCACATCCAGAACTTGCAAATCCGTCCACAGCTCAACCACTTCCATTTTACTTCAGTGAAGTCACTTCCCACCTCACAGATAAAGAATCAGTTTGCCAAATTCATTTCCCAACAAACGAAAAACCCAATTTAGTTCTCATCACCATAGTGACCATACCTTAGCTTATCCGACCTGTTTTTTTTTCAATGAACAGTCACAAGGTTCAAGGTTGCATCTTGTTCTTCAGAGCAAGCAGAGCAGCCAAGCTGCAGTCTCGATTGAGTAAGAGTGAATTTTGAATTTCCTTTTTATACCTATGGCTGGACTCGATTCGGGCCGGGCCTGGTTCGGGCCTTGAACCGGCCGGGCCTCGGTTTGTAAAAGTAGGGCCCGAGCCCGAACCGGTGGCTACCGGTTCCGGGCCGGGCTGGTTCAACCCGGTTTATATATATTTTTTTGACTTCTCCTATTTAACCCCCAACCCTCTCCCCTCACCCCCAAACCACCTCAAATGGCCCAAAATATCCAACCCAAAAACTTAAAAACAATTCAAAAAAAACCGGTAGCCACCGAGCCGGTTCGACCCGAACCGTCCATGGGTCGGGCCGCCGGGCCGGGCCGGTTCAAACAGTGATCGGGCCGGGCCGGTTCCGGTTCGGGCGGCCCTGGGAGAGGGGGGTCTAGGCCCAAAATAAATGAGTTTTTTTGTATGCCAAAAGCCCAACTAGTTATGTTTGAGTAGGTTGATTTTCAGCTTAAAATATTAAATTGGGAAAACAATCAAATAAGCCCTCATACAATGCCCAAAAAGTCAATTAGGCCCTCATACTTTACAAACACTCAATTAAGTACTCGAACTATTAAAAAATGTTCAATTAAGCCCTTTCAATTAACCGAGAAACCGGATACTTACCGACCGAAAGGGCTTAATTGAACGTTTTTTAATAGTGTTTGTAAAGTACGGAGGCCTAATTGACTTCTTCGACATAGTACATGGACTTATTTGATAGTTTTCCCTAATTAATTTTGTGAATCCAACTAGCCCAAAACCCATATAACAAAAGCACGGAGCAACTAACACGCACAGAAGTTTTCCATAAACTCCTGTTTCTTCAACCCTCCTGTAATTCTTCAAAAAAAAAAAAACCTTCTGTAAACTAACGCAGCCTTCAACAGTTCAGCCTACCACATCGGCGTCCAGTCTGCAGGTCTCCAACCCCAACTTTCCAAAACTTCAAGAGTTCTGTTTTTTAGGCATTGAGGTACATGTTCCGGCAGTTCGGCCATTGACCATTGTTTTACACTTTTACAAAGTTACAGTTTTTAACATTTTCTTTTATTGATTATGTGACCAGTTTTTAACAATTAACATTTTTTTTTCACAATGTGTTAGAAAAGCTTGATTGTGAAGCTATAGTTGATGACTTTGCTTCACAATCAGACAGAAAAGGGTTTTACAATTTTATTTATATTAAAACTAGGCCCATTTATATTTTCGCCCCTAGGACTTTAAATATAGAGGTTCGTCCCTGCTCATGATCTTCTGTTTGCAGAAGCAGTCATCCATGGACATTCAAGAGCCCCAGTTGGATGCTTTGGGATCACTATCCTTGCACTCCTCATCCTCTAGCCCGTGCAATTCCGAGTCCCAGTAATGAAATTCTCTTCCCCTGCTCCTATGTGTATGTGTGTTCAACTGTTCCCAATGCTATGGGCTTTTTTGTGATTCATTGTTAGTTTTTTTTGAATCAAGGATGAGTTTGGAGGAGAGATTTGATCTTGTTAGGAGCATAGGGGAAGAGTGTATCCAGGAAGAAGAGTTGAAGAATCTGTTGGCGAATAAGCCTCAGCCAATATGCTATGATGGATTTGAACCCTCTGGTCGGATGCACATTGCTCAGGTCTGTAATTTCTGTTATGCCATTTCAATAAAACTGTTTTGCTCAAAGTGTCTGTGACATGACCTTTCTCAGTTTTTGGCATTTTGTTTACATGACTCGTATGGTTTTTGAATTGCATTTATCTTCTTGCAACATATTGAAGATTGTGTCTTCCTCATGAGCTCTGTGAACGTAATTTAACAATGGATATCACTCATTTATTGCAGTAGCTCCAATATCAGTAAAGGTGTAGTTATTATATCTGTGTGTAGATATGTATTTGAAATGATTTTAGTGGTAAGGGGGTATGTCATTTTAATTTTGTCAATGCCCAATGAGCACATGACATAAGCTGCGCATAGGATGAAAAAGGAGACAGTCTCCATGTTGGAATATTTGGGTTTTTGTTTCTTTTTGAAAGAAACTGAGCCTTAATTCCAAATAACAAATCCCTAATCCCGAGTAAATCTGATTATACAAACCAGGGTATTATTATAAAAACAATAATCCTTATATATTCTATTTATCCGTCATGAAAGTTTGGTGCTGTATTAGATTGTTGGTTTTAATTTGTAATCATGTAGTAGAACCCTTAATTTCAGAATGTTTGATCGATGGTATCAATTATGCTATGTACTTCTGTATATAATAGTGTATATGAATGTATGAAAATACCACCTCCGTCCCATTTAGTTTGGGACATGGAGTTTGGCACAAATATTAAGGAATAGTTGGATTCTGTGGTTGATATTGAACCTGTCAAAGTAAGCATGATTGAGCCACAAACATTGGCCAACTTTGGCATGGGATAAACATTTTTGGATGGCTTAAAAAAGAAAGACGGGACAAACAAAGTGCGACAGATGGAGTATTTGTTTAGTAGGCTTAATTAAGAAAAAAAGAAAAAGGCTAAATGAGATACTCAATGCCACAAGCGTAGGGGCTGAATAGGTCCCATATGTTACTATATTTGAAGGTTTAATATATTTAAATTGATTATATTAAGAATTCAAATACAAAATTACTTCAAATAGGCTTTGGTTCTAGGCAGCACCTAGCCATCTAGGCCCACAAAAACTCGTACGCACTGACTGGTCCACTTCCTACTGGTCCCCAGTGGATATTGAACCACTGATTGTGATTAACTTGTTCTTTTATTTCCTCAATTTCTAAATACTGCTGTGTGTTTGAAAGATCATCACTAAAAATCAATAATATATAGATCAACGAATGTGGTTGGATGTGTGATTATGTGTGTCTTTCTCTGGACTTTATTCTCACCACATCAACATCAAATTCTCCATGAACAGGGTGTTATGAAGACAATTAACGTTAACAAGTTGGTATCTTCGGGCTGTAAAGTAAAGATTTGGATTGCAGATTGGTTTGCTCAACTAAACAATAAAATGGGCGGGGACTTGAAGAAAATTCAAGTTGTTGGTCAGTATTTGATTGAGATATGGAAAGCTGTGGGAATGAATCTGGAGAGTAACAATATTGAGTTTTTATGGTCCTCTGAAGAGATCAATTCTAGAGCTGATGAGTACTGGCCACTTGTTATGGACATTGCACGGAGAAATACGCTTCCTAGAATAGTGAGGTTAGTAGTGAACATCCATATTCTTCGTATAAAAGGAAAACAGTCGCTGCAAAATGTCTCAATTTCTCACTACTTGTAATTGTCAGATGCTGTCAAATTATGGGTCGCTCTGAACAAGATGAATTGACTGCTGCCCAAATATTGTACCCATGCATGCAGTGCGCAGACATATTTTTCCTCAAGGTAATCTTTGTAGATATGAAAGTCAATTTTTTTGCCTGAATTTGTATGAAAAAAATTATTTATTTGTTCATATATTTTGATAACTGGTATCTTTCTTGGCCTTTTGGCTAAGATCAAGTGTAGTATCTGTTCTATATTTTGATTACGTTGATAGTTTTCATATTTCCTACTCATATGAAAAGAATCTTTATATTTGTGTGTGATACCTAAATAGTCAAATGCTGTCATTTGGCCAAATATGTGTGTATCTTACATCACATCCTAATCCTTCTGACCTAGGGGTTTTGAGCGGGCGGGTGCCTTTGCGCCTTGTGCACTTCATGCGCTTTTTCTGCGCCTGACAGGTTGCTTGCCTTTGACTACCCTGCCTCAAACCATTCATAGTGTACTTTGGCAGTAGACTAATAGACGTGTAGTTAAAGAGTATTGGTGCTGGACATGGCATGAAACGGATAATGCTCAACATTCAACATTGTTAAATATTCTTCTGTTCTATTGTTATTACAGCTCTTCTTTATTTACTTATTTATTTATTTATTTATTTATTTATTTATTTATTTATTTATTTTGGACATGTTTTAGTGTATTTGGATTTTGGATGTAACTTTCTAAGTGCAAAGTCATTTCCCTATTAAAGACCAGTACTATCTGTGATTTTTTTACTTAAACAGAACACTAAGGTGTTTCTGTGTGACCGAGAGGTCACAAGTTCAAGTCTTGGGAGTGGTCTCTTGTAAAAAAAATGGACAGGGGGAAGGCTTGCCCCTTATACACCCTTGTGGTCTGACCCTTCCCCGGATCCTTGTCATGCGGGGAGCCTTAGTGCACCAGGCTGCCTTCATGCACCGGGCTGCCCTTGAATACCCACAGGTTTTTATTGTTTTAACATTTAGATGCAATGATGCATACATCCTTGAATATAATGTGTGCGCAATCAACTGCATGCGCTTTTCCTAGCAGGCTGATATCTGTCAATTGGGAATGGACCAGCGAAAAGTGAATGTGCTTGCAAGAGAATACTGTGAAGCCATAAAGAGGAAGAACAAGCCTATCATTTTGTCTCATCGTATACTTCCACATCACTTTATTTTCGAAATCAGAATATGGTTCAGATGATTTTTCTCCCTTCTTATGAATGCAGTTTTTATTTTCCTGATTTCCGTGCCTGTTTAAACTGATTTTTCTTGGGACAGGAATAGTAACAATTCTGTAAATGTTAAATTTGTTTGGGAGCTTTATATATTCCCTTCACTTATATTTTGGCATGCAGACATGCTGCCTGGCTTGCAGGAGGGTCAAGAGAAGATGTCCAAAAGTGATCCATCATCTTCCATTTTCATGGAAGATGAAGAGGTAGTGCATAGTTGATGCCGTTGATTCTTGTCATGCGGGCTGCCTTTGTGCACCGGGCATGACATTCATAACAGACACTTGGATTTTTTGTGTTGCTTTGATTTATAGGCAGATGTGAATCTCAAAATAAAGAAGGCTTTTTGCCCACCCAAGGTTGTAGAGAAAAATCCGTGTCTAGATTACATCAAGTACATCATCTTTCCCTGGTTTAATGAGTTCAAGGTGGAGCGAAGTCTAGAAAATGGCGGTAACAAGTAAGACATGTTGGATATGCTTGCTTCATAGTAGTTTACTTCAGCTTAATTTTCATTAATATTGGATATGGTTGCTCTGCTGGTCCAGTTGGAACATTATGAGGAGAAGTGATTATCACCCATTCTCCATCGCAGCACTTTTTATTAACTTTTTTTTCATGTGCAGGACCTTCTCAACTTTTGAGGAACTTATTACTGATTATGAATGTGGTAGCTTGCATCCTGCTGACCTTAAACCTGCTCTCGCAATAGCGCTGAACAAGATCCTGCAGGTCCACACTTTTTTGCCACTATTTGGAAATTTTTAGGATAGAAATAGCTAGGAAAATATAGTGATATTTGGAAGGGAAGAAAGTGTAAGGAAAATGAAATATTATGTCAAACTCAATAAATATATACTTGAATTACCTTATTTAATTATTGTCTAAATAACGGTGCCATTTTGCAATGGGAACCTTTAATCGAGACAGAGGTAGTACTTTTTTGTCCATATATGAATGGAGTCACTTTTATGGAGTTGTACTTTAACATTTTCTTTCCTTTCCCTAGTATTTTCCCAGATCCAAGCATATGGTAACATTGCTAGTATCTTTTCAAACATTCGATTTGTACTTGGACGACGGAGTCGAAGTTAGGTGTCTTATAAGAATTAGGTTTAGGTTTTTCATTTTAAGTGAGAAAACCACAGACCTACATTTAGGAATATATATTTTCTTAAACATCTTTCATGTGTTATGGACAGCCTGTGCGTGATCATTTCAAGAATGATGTCAAGGCAAAGGAACTTCTTAAGAGGGTAAAGGTATGTGTTATCAATTTGGATCACTGAATTATTCTAAATTTAGCATAACTGTGGAATATAAGTTCAGTGCTTTTCTTTTTCCAGAGCTACAGAGTTACCAGGTAATGGAAATGGAAACAAGATATGCGGCTGCAACCATTTACTTTAGAGTGAAAAACTAGAATTTTTTATTATTACAGATTAAAAACGTTTTGCTTGGTTATTTGTCTTGCAATTTTGGATGTTGTTCTAGACTTCTGGATGTATGCAAACTGAAAAAGTCCATCATACCCAAATTTATCTATGAAGGGTTCACATTCGAAGCAACAGAAAGAGCGACGTTTTTACTTATATCAGGGGATGCTTGGAACATATTAGACCTGTACAAAACCGGGCCGGGCCGGGCCGCCCGGCCCGCCCAGCCCGCCCACACAAATTAGCGGGCTTGGGCATATATATTTACCCACCGGCCCGGCCCGTGCCCGGCCCGCAACAACATATGGGCGGGCTTGGGTTAGGGTGTAGGCCCGTTCGGGCCGATAAGCCCAGCCCGCTACATTTAGTATATATACATATATATTTTTTTATATATACTAGTTTATGTATTTATTTACATGTACACATGTATATTTTTATATTTACTAATTTATTTGTATACATATTTATAGTTTATTATGTTTAAATTTAAGTTTTTAGTTCTTAACAAATAGTCCAACCAATATAATATCAATTTTTGTACTTAACGATAATACTTTGTGCATGAATTTTAAATTTTAGATATAGTTTCTCATTATTATTTTTGTGTAAATATTTTTTGTGTATGTGATGAAAGGCTTATATACATTATAAGC